GCAGAATCTCCCACGTCCGCCTGCTGGCATTCCCTGCTGCTCCATACATGTCCTTGGATCACAAATCAGATGTGTGCAGCCCAGGTGGGGTGAGGTTTGCCCTTAAGAGAGCGCTTTTCCTCTCCTTTTCAGCTGCCGCAGAGCGGAAACTGCTGAAGGAATCACACCTTTCCTTCTGGTGAAACTTTCCCAGTAATTCTGCTTTTAGTACAGTGTTTTGCATGAATTACCAGTTCAGTGGGACTTTTATTTCCGCTTTTAGCCCGCATTGCTTCGCTTCGTTTCCCTGCTCAAGTGAGAATCAAAGAAAATGGAAAACCTGGACAACTAAGTTTGAGAAGCTGACATTTTGAAAAATGCTCCGAGTTAGGGACTGGTGAATGAGTGGCACTCAAGCTGGCCAGAATTTTCAGATATCACATCGCTGCTTGTCGCTTCTTGAGTTGATCTACTGGGTGTAATTGCTGTCCATTTGGTGCACAGGAAATTGCAACAAACACACAACTATCAAATATGAAAGCTCAAAAGCAATACCTAAAATTGGAAAAAAAATCCAAAATTGCACAAATATTCCCTGTAGACTAAAGTATGGGTGTTTTAAAATGTGTGCAGTTTTTGCAGACTTGTACACTGTAAGCAAGTAGAACTTTTTTCAAAAGTTCATTTTGCAGACATGAGAGAAAGTTTGGGAATTTGCAAACCTTTTCACAGAAAAGGCATCCCATTTCTCGTTTGGGACTGAATGGGGCTTTTTGAAGTGGTTGCCATAATGAAATGAAATTCTCAGAAATCTCTCATTCAGATATGAGGACCAGCTTATTAATTGTCCTCATAGTTCAAATATGAGGACTAGCTTTGCTGCCTCTGTTTATCTGATGTGAGTGTGGTGAGGATGAGATGTTATTTACTGTAGCTTTCATATCTCTTGAGTGGGGAGGGAGTTCCAAAGCAAATAGGAGGAGGCAGAATTTTGATGGAGAGAAGAAGGAGATTGTCAGTCTAGGCTGATTTTGCGTCTCTGAAAGTCCTCCATTACAGGGACGGGAAATTGGCTACAATTGGCACTTCCTCACAGTCTTTGGTGCATAAATCTTGGTTCTGATTAGGGGTGCTCTGAGGCTTTGCAGAATCTGTCCCTCCAGTGTTTGCAGACCTCCTCTTGGCTTGGCCTGGTCTTGGAGAGCCAGCCAAGCCAAGAGGAGGCTCACAAATGCTTGAGCAACAAGATTTGCACAACCAGCGATGTTCTTCATGTGTGGTGGCAAAAAGAAGATTGCTTCCACATGGTGTGAAAGAGGGACATGGTGTAGCTTTTGCCCAGGACTCCCTTCCTGGCAGGCACTGGCTGCTGTTCATGGTGTGAAGAAGGGAGCGTTCCCCAAGGAACATGGGACCGGAGTCTAGGAAGCCAAGCCCAGGGAATCCAGCAGAGGGGTTCCTCATGGATCCTTAGTTCTGATCTGCAATACACGGGTGGAACACACTCTTCTCCTTTGTTTTCTGGAGCTCACTCAGAACTGGACAGAAACCAGCAAAATCCTGAGTTACCCTAGAAGCACTTCTGCATCTTCCACATCGGAAGTTGTAATTCTGGCCCAGGTTCTAGCAACATTCATTTCCTAGAGGATTCTTGCAGTCTCCTTCTTCGTATAAGATGCATCCAAAGCATTACTTTTATTGTAAAGCTGGCTTTAGACAAATTAGGGAGGACCATTAAACATGGATGGAGGAAAGAAGAAAGGGTGAAATGATGCCGTATCACTGGCAAAGCCCTCTCCACCCTGCTGGCAGCTTGCCTTCCCTGATTTCCAAGATCAAGGAATCAACAATCATGGGGTCCAAATCAAGGGAACAGCTGGAATGCAGAGCCCCTATAAGACCTCGGCATCCGAGCATGTGTGCTCGGCACGGCTTTCTCTCCTCCACCTTGCGAACACCAGCCAGAAGGAATTCGCTCCCATCCTTTGGGAGATGTTTGATTCCTAAGCTCAGGAGAGGAACTGCTACTGGGAAAGCAGGACTGCCTTCCAGGGGCCTCTGGCTAGTCGGAACCCCGCGGGGCAACGTGGATTGGTGTGCCCGCGTCAGGCTGAGCTGCACCTCAAGGGAGTGGCGCTTTCAGCTTTTTCATGGGAGAGTCTCCCGTGAGGTCAGTGAGGAAGGCCTGCAGGAAGGGAACGAGGCCGCGTGCTGATAGAAGGGATGGCTCGTCTCACTTGCAGATGCTGGCAGTCCCTGGCTGACAAACAGCGGATGCTTGTGCATGACTTGCCAGGAAGCTGACATTTTATTCCTTTCAGCAGCAGACCAAAACCTTTTTATTTTCCCAGTATTTTAAAGTTGGAGTGTGGTTTTAATGTGGGGTTTTATTGTACGGCAATTAATTTGGATGCTGTGTTCCACCCTGGTTATGGTAAGACTGTCCTGATACCTCAGCAGCGGATGGGAGTTAGGGTTAGGGTTAGGGTTTTAAATAAATAAATAAATAAATAAGTTTTAAATAAATAAATAAAGGATAAGTAAAGTATTTTTTCAGGGTGAGCCTGTGCTGTGGCACCAAGGACTGGTGGTGTCACAGAGGGAGCTAAAGGGGTGAGAAGAGAGGGAGGGGGGAGGGAGGGGGGAGATGGCCTGGGAAGGGTGGGCGATCGGGTTGGAGCATGTGGATCATGGGCTCTCTTTGCGTTGCCTTTGGCAGTGCAGCGCATTTGTAGGATTTCTCACTCAAACGCCTGCGTTCCGGTTCTGAGGAAGCTTCTTGCCCCGCGTTGGGGTCTTGCCAGACACGGAAGAGCAGCTCAACGTGTTCTGCTGCCCCAGTTGGAGCTGTGCCCCGGCTTTGGTCCAGGAGCATCTTCCCTCAAGTTTTTACGCTCCGTTTCTGCTTCCGAAAATGAGGAGGAGAGTCGGGGGGGGGGGGCTGCAAAAGCAAAACGGATATGGGTGGGCCATCTTGTCCAACAAATCTGAGGAAGGGGTGAGGATTGTGGACCCTCCTGAGCAGGGATGGGCAACCTCAGGTGCCGAGGGACACTTCGTCTCCTGCTGCCAGCAGAGACTGCACCACAATACCAGATTTTCCGCGCTGAGAAAGGCCGCAGAGACTTTCCAAGGGAGGAAGGTGTCTGGAGCACACGTGACTTGTTTCCACGCAGAATTGTGCACCTGGGAGTGAGATTCCTTGTGTGTACTCCACACCCAGCTTGCTTTCTCTCTCAAATCTGGGTGGCATTTGCCACTGCTGCTGGTGGTGCTGGCAGAGGGACAACATTAGGCCATGAAATAGCAGGCTGCATGTCCCCGATCCGTAGGTTTTCCGAATTTCAACTGGAAGGCCCTGGACGCGCTTGTGTCTGTGTGTGTGGACGGGGAGAGGAAGGCACCTTCGCTTTTAAAGATCTGCCGTGCAGCACGCTGATTAAAGGGGACATTCCAGGCTGAGGTTGGAGCACTTGAACGAGAGCATCTGCTTGCTGCTGGGAGGGGATATTAATTGCCTTGATACTTCAGTGGAGAGAAAGACGAGCGTCAGCCCCAGATAATGTTTGAACAAACAAACAAACAGCTGCCAGGAGGGTCCCTCTGATGGTTGACCTTTGCCGAATGCCGGGTGGCTGTTTTTCAGAACATCCTGCCTGGTGGAATAAAAATGAATGACTGGGGAGAAGCTCTGGGGATGCGGAATTAATTTCGCTATGTCAGGATCGGTCGAGCCTGCCAGGCTGGCTTCGGACTGGGAGGTCAGAAGGGCCGGTCGGTTGGCTCGGATGTGGGTGCTCGGGTGTCCTGTGGCAAAGGGTACAAGGAGAGAAGGGGTGGGTGGGTACCTGGTTTGTTTACCTTCAAAGGAGGAGCCCAGATCTTGTCTATGTGGTTGTAGGCTAGTTCTGGGGTGTGTATAAGCTGGGCTAGCTCCGGCTGGGCACCTGTTTCTCTGGTCTGCTGCCCACTCGGGGCCAACTGGAGGCCATGAGATGCCCCCACGCAGGGCACGAATGCTAAAGGGCTCCTTCCCTTGTGCTTATCAGCAGCCGATATTCAGAGAAATAGTGGAGGTAACTTCCAGCCAACCTGTAGAACCAGGGCCGGCCCCGCCAGTTGGCAAGCTGTACCAGCCTCCTGAAGCCGCAGATGCTGGGGCGTTGGCAAAGGCGATGAGAACAGACTTGTGGGTCATGGGACTTGTGCTGCTCCCCTTTGGCCAGCCTACCAGTTGGTGATAGGTGTTGTAGTCCAACACAGTTGGAGGGTATTGCGTTGGAGGAGGCTGGGCTATTTGCAACTGCAGGATCCTGTAGGGGAAGCAGATCCATCCGGGCCAGGATCCGGCTGGAAGCTGGAGATAAAGGAGAGGCAAGGCCAAGGGTGGGGGGCATTGTTGTTGAGCTGGATGAGCTTAGGTTCCTGGCCGTTGACTACGCTGGCTGGGGCTATTGGGAGTTTATGTACTTATTTATGATGCTTACCCCACCTTTTTTTCCTTTTCAAGGAACTTGAGTAGACTTACATCACTCTTCGCTTCCTCTCCATTTTTCCTCCACAACAACCCCGTGGGGAAGGTTGGGCTGAGGGTGCAGGACTGGTCCAAAACCACCCCACGAGCTTCATAGCTGAGTGAGGACTAGAACCCAGAACTTCTGGATCCCCAGTCCAACAGCCATGCCACACGGCACCTCAAGGCGAAAGCCCAAAACAGCTGGAGGAGATCATGGTCGGAAAGGTGGGCTCCTATTGTTGATGTGGGGCTAAGGGGGCCCAGAATCACTTCCTTACTCAGCTTGAAGCTCAGGCGGTGGTCCTTGCAGGTCACTCCTGCACTTTCCAACTGGCCTCACAAAGTTTCTGTGGAGATAAGAAATGGTGGAGAGGAGATCCGCATGTGTCCCCAAGAGCTCCCTGGAAGGACAGATGGGATAAAAAGAACATGGAGGAAATCACGATATGAGTGCAGTGTTTGGTGCAGCTCTTCCCTTCGTCTGACGCCTCTTTTGTTTCCACAGATCCGTGTAGATGGACCATCCAAAGGGGCCCTTGAGTATGAGGTTGTGCAGGTGGTGGATTCTGGGCCGATACTGCGGGATATGGCTTTCTCAGTGGACCACAAGTATCTGTACATCATGTCTGAGAAACAGGTGAGTTCTGTGGCTTTGCGGGCATTGTTTAATTCAAGGAGAGACTTGAAGTGATGTCTGTCTGTCTTCCTAAATGGGAAGCTTTGAAGTCAGCAATGAGCGCTTTGATGGCTCTTTGCTGGAATCTTGTTCGTGCTTTGAATTGTGACTTGGACTTCACTGGGTTTAGGCCGACACTGGAGAGGTTATAGGATGCTTCTAGATTAGGGATGGGTCACATGTGGCCCCCTGTGTTTCAGGCCGCTAATTCCATCAGCTCTTCCAGCAAAGTCCATGGAGTCCGTGGATGGTGGGAACTGTAGGCTGATGCATAGGCAGAACCCCGGTTGGTCAAGAGACAGTTGCTTGGCTGTTGGGATGATGACTGAGTGCGTATACCATCTTCCAGCTAACTATAACGTCTGTCAGCAAAGCTCAGGGAACCCAGGTTCAATTTGGATGCCAGGAAGTCCTTCCTGATGGTTAGGACCCCTGGGGTGTGGAATGGGCTCCCACGGGAGGTCGTTGAGGCCCCATCGGTGTGGGTGTTCAAGGATAGGCTGGACGTGCACATGGTGGGCATGTCATGAGCGGAGCCGGCTGGAGCCGGGGGTCAGACTAGATGGCCCGGGAGACCCCTTCTGACTCGCTCTCCCCTTCTGACTCGCTCTGTTTCTAAGTTTCTATGGTGCCGGGGGTCAGACTAGATGACCCGGGAGGTCCCCTTCTGACCTGCTCTGTTTCTATGTTTCTGTGTTTCTATTTCCACCCATGCCAGTGGATCCAACAGGCCATTTGTAACACCCAGGTGAGTGAAGCACGCTGAACTTTATCCAAAGGGAAAAGAGAGAGAGACTATGTTATTGTAGAGGAGAGACCTCACAAGGTGTCTCCTTTGATGGAAATGGCATGAGAAGTCATTTCCTGTCAGGTGACACGGGTCTTGAGATTTGTCTGTAGGGGATCCTGGGTCTTGTTTTTTCCAAGGCTGTCATATCAGTTTGAAAAGGATGCAAGGTTGAACATGGGGTGCGCGATTTACGTTTTAATGCATTGCAACAGCATCTATTTGAGTCCTGCTCCTGTTACCCTGCTGTGTGCCATTCATAAGCACTGACAAACTGAATTAACTGAAATGCAAGGAGAGCCATTTGCATTTCTATGCATCTCTCTGAAATTGCTGGGCCCTGCCCGCTGGTCCTTCAGAGGCTCCTTTTTAATTCAAATTCCCATTTAGCCCCTCATTCTAATGGTACCTGGGTGTGTGAGAGAGAGGGAAAGAGACTGGATAGTCATTACCCCGTTCAGGTTAGCATCAAGCACTACCTGTAACTTTCCCTTTGTGCTGCCCTGAGCACCTTGCAGAAAGTGCAAGTGACATCAACAATTAACTTTTTCCTCACTTCATAACGATTCCTGTCCTCCATTCTGGGTTGCGGCTACAGCTTCCCATCAGCGCTGCTGAAATGTTGGTTTCCTAGACTAGTCCCTGTCTGTGCTTTTGGGTGTAGGGTAGGTTTCCAACCTGAAATACGCCCTCCCCACGCTTTGTGCAACCCAATCTTATTGGTGTTTACTTGCTGTATTCCCCATTCAGCAGGGTTTCCTCCCAGGCAGGGTGTACATACTTGCATCAGCATAAAAATCCCCCCTAGCATTTACCCTTTGTGGGGTCATTTTTTTACCCCAGACATCTAACTTGCCTCTGGCAATGCAGATGTTGGCTATGAAAAGCCGTGTTTTCTCGTATCGACTTGCAATCAGCATAGCGATGCTGTGCCCCAGTGTATTTCAGTTTTGGGGTTAAGAGGGAGTGCCCCTTCCTAGCACTCCTGACAGGTAAATAGGTCAACCTTGTGTTGTGCTCCAACAAGGTGGGGTAGCCAAAATGCAAAAGTGGCCAATTGCCAGGCAAATCGGGGGAGCTCCTTTATACCCCAAGTACATTTCACTTATAGAAAGAAAATAACATCAGGACATTGCTTAGCAGAAGGCGCTCGCAGTCTACTTATGTGTCAATTACACAGAAAATGTGAGCCTTGGGGGATGGAAGTGAACTCCGGAGGCTGGACGAAGCTTTCAACGTGTTCCACTCTCATTCCCTTTTGTGCATGTTTGGCTTCCTTCCTTTCTCCTCCATTTCCCTTCTCTCCTGGGTTGCTCATCATCACAAAACTGGGCCTCATTGGAGGATCACGATCCACCCATTGAAGACCAGAGTCCTAGAAGGTACGCCTTCGTCCCCAGACCTTCCCGCTTCCTCTAGTACATTTTGGGCACTGCCTGCATTTCCTTCTCTGCCGCGTGAACATTCATACATCAAATCTGAGATGCAGAAGACAAAGGGGTGCTTTTTGATCCATTCGTCTTCATTAGGCACAGACATACGCCATAACTCACGGGATGGGGACAGCCGTGACATAGGATAGATGGCTTTGCATTTTGGGCTACGTTTTGCATAAATGGAGATCTTATCACTGCAGCTTTCTGCTGCCTGCCCCTTGCAATCAATCCTCCTTCGCTTACGGAAGTTTTAGATCCTGCTGCAAACCCCTGCCAGCCTGAGGGCCAAATTCGGTTTCAGAGAAGCCCTTAGGACTGGCTCATAGCAGAGGTCCAAAAGGGTGTGCCAAGATACCGACGGTGTCTCTAGTATCAGCAAGTCTAAGTGGACTTCTCGCCTTGAGGCTTCGCAGGAGAGGCCTTTTGACCTTTTAGTGGGGCTGAAATGCTGAGAAACTGCCATATGATTGGTGGTTGGGGGAAAGGGTTGGGGCCCGAGAAAAGGGGTTCAGGGATTGCCATCCAGGGTCTATCTGGGTCCCAGGTGAGCCAGGTATGGGCCTGCGGTTTGGTACCTGTTGCCTGTAAGCCAAATATTCTGTCTCAGGGCAATGGAGATGGAAGCATCCATTCATAATTTACCCTGAATTTAAACCATCTGTGACTAGCATAGAACCCAAACCAAATGTGGCAGAGGTGGAACGTGGGACCTGAGCAATCGGCATGGCACTTTTAAGGTCCGTGCATGCCTAGGACACAGGCCGGCAACTCCAGGGAGCTGTGGGCTGCTTTTGCTGCTGCCCCAGTGATTGTATTCCATGGGATGGCCATGAATTTGCTCTTCCTTTTGTTTAACTGATAGCAGCTTTCTTAGCACTGTGGAACAAGTGTGGGTCATTCTGAAGGGAAAAAACTGAAGTACGATGTAGTGCCAATTCAGCCATATTTTTGTACGGGAGGGGATATTAAAATATTTTCACTGCTCCAGTGTTCTCTGGAGCCACATACAGTGGTGGATGTACATTTTACACACCTCTGACTGAAGGTCTGGAGCAGTTTTCCCTTTCGTCTCGTTCCCTCTAGCTGTTCTGGCAGCCACTCAAGTAGGGATAACGCGGGCAGAGCGTGTGAATGAACATGTATCCATAGACCTGAAGAAAACGGAGCAAGAAAGAGATGGAGGGAGATGAGGGTTGGCGAAAAATCAGGCACGACAGCTCAAACGTGGTTCGGGCACCATCATTTAAGGACACCCCCCCCCCGCCCCCATTCCAGGAGAACGTAACCTAATTCACTCCCTTTGATTCTCTCCGGCATTTTTCTCCAGCAATTTTGATACTGCATTTCCTCTGAGCACTTAACATCATTTACTGAAAATTGACCAAATATTTGAAAAGCGTATTCAGCATCCGGTGATATTTGACTTCAGTGTTTGATATTTGATAGCATTTTGTCATTTGCCCCGAATTGGCATTTAGTAGGTAACAGCTGATCTGGAACAGTACTGAAAGTCTCTCGGAAGGTTGGAATGCAACGCCATTTAGCAGGGGTTCCACTTTTGGTCTTTGTTCTTGTTCTGAACTTAGGAGCCTGTGGTATTTTCTAAGAGTTCAGGATTCTGAGCAAGTTTCTTTTAGATTCTCTTATCCCAAAGACCACTATGCACCAGTATGCCTAGAAATTTGCATGGCACTCTTTTTCCTCTCTGTGGAGTGGCACATTGTTGATTAGGTCTGGTTGATGACTTTTCCTCCAAAATAAGGGCGAATGGGGAATTAGAGGGACTGTTGCGTGTGGACAGTGACATTCTCCAGACTTTTATTAATTTATCTATTTAATTCCTATAATGCCCAATTAGTCAGGCAGCTTACAAAATCAAAACGAACACCAAGTGCAATATCCATAAACAAAATGATAACATTTAAAATCAAACATAAATAATACACAAGAGTAAAATAGCAGCTATAAGCACATGGAAATGAACCCATGATAGACTCTTGTATTTTGGCCATGGGATGCAATCAAGCTCATTAGAAAAAGATGGAATGATTGGAATGCTCAGCAGCATGAGGAAAGCAGGTCAGCAAAGAACAAGGCGGTCAGACTCCGCCAAAGAGGATGTGGGCCCCATGGAGAGGGTGCTCAAGCACATGCTGGACATGCACGCAGTCGGCAGGCCCATCCCAGGCCACTCTACCGCTGCCACTCCGCACGACTCCGGTGCGCCCGCAGCTGGAGCATTGTGCTCAATTCTGGGCCCCTCGTGACAAGAGGGAGATGGCCAGGGTGGAACCGGTGCAGCGCAGGGCCGCAAAGGTGGTGGCCGGTTTGCAGGGGATGCCGTATGAGGCGAGACTGAGGGAACTGGGTCTCTTCAGCCTGGAGAAGGGGAGACTCAGAGGGGATCTGTTGGCGACATGCAGGTGTGTGAGGGGGTGTCACACGGAGGTGGGGAGAGACCTGCTCTCCCTTGCAGAGGAAGGCAGGATGCGCTCCAGCTGAGCCAAGTTCAAGGAACCAAGGTTCAATTTGGATGCCAGGAAGTACTTCCTGACAGTTAGGGCCCCTATGGTATGGAGTGCCCTTCCATGGGAGGTGGGTGTAGCCCCATCAGTGGGGGTGTTCAAGGATAGGCTGGGCATGCACATGGTAGGCATGTCACGAGCGGAGCCGGCTGGAGCCAAGGGTCAGACTAGATGGCCCGGGAGACATAGAAACATAGAAAACAGAGCAAGTCA